TCACCCGCTTACCACACACCCACCCGCTTACCACTCACCCGTTTACCACACACCCACCCGCTTACCACTCACCCGTTTACTACACACCCAACCACTTACCACACACCCACCCGCTTACCACACACCCACCCGCTTACCGCTCACCCACCTGTTTACCACATACCTGTTTACTACACATCCACCCACTTACTACACAACCGCCTGCTTACCACACATTCACAGATCCACCTGCCCACCGACACCATGCGCATCTAATCAGTAATAGTGTGGTCTTCTAAAAGTGGAAATTTTACTATTTCTATGTCCTATCAATCGTGTTAGGGCTATATATTGTTTAAAAATTCAATCAAAATTAGCATATTTCCTTTTCCCCCTTGTTTTCGAACTATATTTCAGGGTTTTAAAAAAGGCAATCTCATTTAATTACTTTTGGAATTCACCTGCAGTCTCACTGGCGATTATCGGCGTGCTAATTATCATTACCTCCGCCAAGAAGTCATGTTTTTGTCTTTGTCGCACTGCTATTCAAAATCCTAACTAAAATCCTAACTAAAAGTTTTGGACGGAATTTGATAAAAATATTTTCAGATGTCAAAAACAGGATAACTTAAAATTTATTAGTTTCTGGTGATGATCCATTGATTGAATTGACTTGTTAATTGTAAGATCTAAGCCTTTCCAGAGACCTGTTCTTTCTGAATGCCTGTCTAGTGTCCTATGAAAATGATACACCAACAGCATTTGCTTTGTTTTGTGCGTTCCACCGCCGTCTTCCTCCTCGCCTGATCTGTCTCTACAACAACTGGTCTCAGCAGTATCAAAATACACATTTAACTATGTAAACTGCAAAGACGGCTCATTTCGATCCGACAAATTTAGTTATTTATTCAAAGATGTTTCTTACGCAACACACCCCCACACACATGTACACACACGCACTGAGAGAGAGAGAGAGAGAGATTCAGTCTCAGCTATTGCTAAGGATACTCGGGTTCGGGGTTTGCCTTGGCGTGCTTGTTAAGATAATCTTCAATTTCTTTGTATAGACGTTGCTGCGCAATTTTATGCGTTTTGTATTTGTGTATTCGTTTACGAACTCCGCATCAATATTCTTTGCCTCCCATGTTTTACGTTTACGAAACGCATGATCAGTCGTGTATGTCTTTATTCACAGCTCTGTTTAACCCCTCCAGCACACTTTCCCCCTTTTTATGTATCCCAGCTATATAGTAGCACAAAGTCAAAGTAACAACCAAATAGTAGGGTTGCGTGAGATTTACCAAGACTTCAACATCAGTTTGGGGTTAAAAGATAGTGTACTTATTATAGCGATCGACACAAGCAATATAACTACCGATTGTACATTATCTAAATATCGGGCTACTAAATAATTTTCCAAACACACCACTATTAAAATGGTTGTTCTATACATTTAAGGTGATACTGAAGATATATTTCATATGCACAAGAGATCAGATATGTACACTATAACTGAGAGAGTTCTTCACAATTTGCATGAGGAAAGCCATGGTCGGTGAAATACTGCTCTGCATATCCTTGTGCAATGAATACCCGGGTGCATGATGAGTCAGATAACAGGGCTGAGATAAACATTTAAAATTAAGATGTCATCCGGTTAAAAGGCGTGTTTTGAGCCAGGTAATTCACTATTTCACTTTTCTGTGTAAACACCACAGGTGCAGTGTAGGATATTACTAAAATGGAATGCAATTTGCATTTTTTTTGTTCACGATCAGAGTTACCAATACCATAGCATTAAAGGAATAGGGATAGCTTAATTGTCCAACCAACACCGTCTGTCACTCCGGGGAGGAGGGGCCGGGGGCAGTTTGGGGAAGGGTTCTCTCATGTCCTCAAGAAAAATAACGTGCAAAATTAACAGTGGTGGATATTTAAGACAAGCACGTTAAAAGAGAGACGAAAAGGGTGGTTTAGAAAGGTAAAACATAGTTGGTGTTAAATAGAAATTTATCTATACTGGTACATGTACTTACATATACATGTAGGAGTTATAAGATTAAGGGAATCAAAATCTGAAGATAACAATGTTCTTCAGTAATAACGTTTTCCGAAAATGAAAATGGGTATAATAATATAATTCGTACCGGGCCTTCCCAAAATTGGTGTACTCTGTTCAAGAAGCTGTAACACCTTTCGCGAGATCAGGGACGCGAAATCTCTCGCACGACCGATCGTGCGTACGATGCATTTTCAAAAAAGATGTGTACAACATGGAATAAAATGTTTTATATGTTGCAATAACTGCCTTAAGGTATAAATTGCAGGTGGCATCTTCTACTATATTGGCATTGTTATTTAGTGTGTCTGTGAAAATAGCGAAAAAGAAAGGGCATAAAGTGAAGCATGGTATGACGCAAGTTGAAAGAAAACGATTTTTTAAACTTTTCGCCATTTTAATGGACTTCCCTAAAACAATAAAATAATATTTTCTTTTCTAGAAGACAGCGAAAAACTTATCGGGTATTATCTGATTTAAAGGCGTATTTTGAGAACCTCATTATCCACTGTGACTATGGAGAACAGCACAGGTAAGACATAACAATAGTGTAGTGTCCATCAACGTGACACGTGCTGTGTGATTTAATATCAGTTATTATCATTTAAATAATGAAAATTTCAAAGTAAATGCAGCATAGGGATTTTATAATTCGTGAAACTTTGTCGTTTTAGATCGTTCATTTTACCACAATGCAGATGTATGTGCACCACCTTCCCTTTTGTTTAGGTATTTTGTAAACATACATGTCTAAAATTATAAAGTGCGCATAATTAAATTTAAAAAAAAATAACGACTCTTCTTATACGCGTACATACATGCACTGTGTTGACTGAATATAGAAGTTGAAGGTAATATTGGACATTAAAGGCAAAAAAATCGAAAACGTGGCCAAAATTGACCCTCTCTGCATTTGGATTCGATGTTTTCTGTCATTTTAAATCAAATAAATTAGTTCTAAATATTTCTCAAAACAATTCGACCGTCATATCTTTCTGTACATTTGAGATAATTGGCATCAAGTACTTAGTTTGAGGTATTTTAGGGTCTGGATTAGGAGAGATAATGAGCTTTACAGGATGTTTAGGTAAAAAAAGACTTTTACAAACGCAGACAGTATACCTTGAACCTAAGACCCATATCTTAGCTTGAACTTATCACCTAATAGTATTCATTTTTTATATTTTCTCAAAAATCAAACGTAGCGTCCGATTTTGAGCCAACCAGTGGAGTGATTCTTAGTGAAGAAAAGCTGATATGGTTGGTAGTCTGTAGCGCCATGACAGGGGTGTGTTTCATAGCAGCAACAGTAGCGTACATAAGGTGAGCACGGTAAACAAGGTGATTATCCCTTTAATAGTTTTGCCCCCCTCTAAGAAGTATGGTAAACAGTAATACGCATGACAGATAATAAGGTAAAAAATAAAAGAAAATAATATGTATTAAATTACTCATCTCTCTCATCATAGTCATTTTCTTTACTTCACGTACCACAAATGCCTTACTGAAAATTAGATGAGAAATGAATAAGTTGCTTTACACGTGTACCGGGCATCTTTAAAGGGCGAGTACAGAGTAAGATATTCAAAGCTATTTAAGTTGACTTAATGCCTAAAAGAACGTGCCTGCTTTTTAATTTTATTATCAGTTTTAATAAACTGGATAAATAAGGTATGGGTTAATACAGAGTGGATACATATGTATCCGAGACATTTTTGCCTTTATAAACTGACACTGTGTAAAGTTAATTTCAAATGAATACTTAGAATAAATAATGTCTATTTATTGCTGTCAGATTGTTGTTTGTAAGGCATAAAGAATGTGTTTAACTATTGTTACCTGATACATTTAGCAAGGTCCGCAAAATGCCCAGGGCGAAAAAGAAAAGAAGAGAGGAAAAACTTAAGAAAGATAAAAGTGAGTTATATCTGTTGCATCGTTTTATTATGAAGAGAACAAATTACGTAAAACAATGTAATAAAACAACACAATTAAGAACTGAGTAGTTAATTCCTTTACTATTTTGTTTTAGCTAATAGAATGTGCTTATCTCGAGAATGACGTAATTTTCAGGAAATCTGGAAACCTCAGTCCGGGTCATGGTTTTTAAAAATCAACGAGTGCGAACAATATCTGAATTCCTGCAAATAAGTCAAGATAAAGGCTTGATTGAAAAGGAGCATCAGGTTTGTTGCGTGATAATTATATTTTCAGGCGTCCTGATAATAAAATTCAACAGGGTTTCATAGCCAGAACGAACCTGTTGAACGATAATAAGAGCTCCTACCCCACCCACCCACTGCACCACCCCACCCCACCCCCATGTTCCAACGCCACGTCCCAACATCATATACCAAATGGGACTATTTTTTTAATATGTCGGCCAGAACGCAAAACCAAATATCCACATGTGAGGAACAGTCGAATGTGGATGCACTGTATACCTGGTGATGGTGTTTAAAGAAAATTATGCAGGTGCCCACTTAGTCATGTATGTAGTCACGCTTTAAAAGCCTTTTGCCATAATTATAGAAAGAGATTATGTACTCATTGTGAGGCTTACCACTGGCCGCATGGATATTTTGTCACTTTAAGAAGGCAGTAATTTTAATGTCCTCAAATTATAATCAAATAAGCATAATGACAACAAGAAATAAAAGTATAATTAAGTAGATATTATACCATACACCCTTGGTTATATTTCTAATCAGAGAGAATGGATTTCAGGCCTTAACTAAAATAGCTCTGGAGAGGGAAATGTTAAGACGTGATGGCAAGATTCATACCAAAGATAGTTCGCGAACTTCCGGTATGTATTAGAAGTGTAATTATCTTTGTAATTATATACTGATGTCGCAAGTTTTGAACTGATAATCCTTCAAGTGCATCGTCTGAGTGGTAAAAGGTAATCCATATTAAACTGCTATCAAGGCTTTCTTTTACTCTGCGATATATATATATATATATATATATATATATATATATATATATATATATATATATATATATATACAGCATTGGTCAAAAAGGTTGTCCCACCCCCATTTCCATGTACTTTTATTTACAAATGATAACCTTACAGCCGTAAATTGTTAGAAATAGAGCTTTTTATTACGGATACAGTGTCTAACGTGATTAATGGTTTAAAAATACAAAATAGTGGTAAAAATATACATATTTTATACCATTTAGTAAAATTTATAAGAGGTACCCCCTCAAATCGACTGTTTCACAGTGACTTCTACAGATGTAAAGAAATGTCTATAAAATTGAAAAGACGCCATCAAATGTCACCAAATTCACACACAATTAGCATTAGGGTGTGCTTGTTAAAGGTCACGTGCCTAACA